AGTTCCCAAGAAATTTGAGATAAAAAAATACCCAAAAAAGCCATGATAATTCACGAAAAAGCAAGAGAAATCGTGATAAACTTTTCCTATAATTTATTGAAAGGACGAACCAAATCGCGTGGCTTAAGGATCCTCTCTCTCTCTCTCTCTCTCTCTCTGGTTTTCTAATGAAGGTCTGAATCTTATAAATGTGGGATTGGAAAAGTGCGATAATCCTACCTGCCGAAGAAAACTAGTCTCTGCTGTGGAGTTGGCTTCGTACAGGTAGTTCGGAGGTCACGTGACCACTGTAATGGCAGGTGAGGGTACTTGGGTTGCGAGTGAAACACGTCTTGCCGTACACGAACTTATATGGTTGTCGTCCACAGGAATCACACGAATTCACGATTGTCTCCTCAGCTTTTTCTTTGCTTTCTTCTCAACCAAAAATCATGAATTCCCCATGCAAAGATTCACGTTGATGTAAGTTCAAAACTATGAGTTCCCTTCCCTACAATCATCACCACATTTACAATATCTTCTTCTTCTTCTTTATATCAATAATTTTTTGATTTAATGATATTTCTTTCTTTTTTTATGGATAACAACTGTCAGGGACAGAGTCAGTTTTTTTTTTATTTATTAATGAAATAAAAAAATAAATAATTCGGACTTACCGAGATTAGATGTAAAGCAATTTGAGATCAATTTATCAAATAATCAATAATTTAAGCTAATTTGCTTATCTCAACTTTTTTTTAAGGAATCTCAAATTACGAAAAAATTGAACAAATTTATTCAAATTAATAGTCAATGCATAAAAAAAAAATTAAGATCAAATTGTAAACGTATATGTATAGATGGCCATGGAAAATGAAATCAAAACATTATTTTAGATGTTTTGAGGTGGGTAAACATAATTTTAAAAACTTAATGGCCCCTTCCGCCATAACATGGTTCCGTCATTGATTATTGTACTAAAAAATAATTTTTGTATTGTATCAAAATTTATTAATTTTAGAGGTCAGGTTAAATCTTATAAAGAGAAAAATTACAGCTGATCGATGTACTTCATAATTGATCTTGTGAAGTGGTGAGTGATGGGTGGGGGTAAGACTGGGACCAGGAGGAGGATTGGGTTGAAAGTTCTTCTATGGGAGAAGAATATTATTGTTGTACATAACATAACTATTACACTTGATGGTACCATAAAATATGTAAGGATAAATTTGGTAACTCAGGTCATGCTACTTAGTTCGGGAGCTAAGCTCATTAATATTATTCACAGACTTCAATTTTAGATTTCAACTCTCCGTGTCAATATCCCGGGGAAGTTTGTGCAAAGGACAATTGAATCTCCCCAAATCCTCATTTTTTTTCTTGGCATTAATCACCCAACAGGCATAAGTCTCATTGCCCAATGAGGGGCAACCGTTACAAGGGAAGGGCCAAGATCTTGCTCCAAATCAAGCAAAGTCCAATAGTAACTATAAATATGAGGCAAGACGTAAGATAGTCATTGTAGTTTTACAAAATATTCTCTATAAACCACACACGGTTATTAATGGATTCAAGAGCCAGATACTTCTTTAAGAGTGAATTATCTCAACTCTTGAACTGATGAACCACTATAAATACTGTGCATAATTATCCATTAATCCCCAAAACCCTACTTCTTAGACCCTTAGAGCTCAAACTAAATTGTTCAGTGGACCTTATATTCTTAAATCTATCCAATTGCGATAATAACATCATCAACACTAGTTATGGTAGAGAAACAACTATGTTATGGGTACAAATTAGTGTTGCGTCCCAAAAAAAAAAGCCCGTAATAAATATTGAAAAGTTAAGGAACAACAATTTGAGAACTGTAAGTCTGAGAACAAGAGTACAATGATGTAAAATTATTTTTTTGTTATCATAATAAAAACTTATCGCTGCTATTGAAATTATTGATGATAAAGATAAAGTATAATATCATAGAAATAAAATATCTTTATCTATGCTATTTTAGTTTAATTGGATAAAAAAGAAGAAGATAATCATGGGGGAGGAGTGCCGAGTTGGGATCGAAAAGTCCAATTTTGGGTTTGACCTAAAAAATGTCTAAGTCTGGACTTTGGTTATATCTTAATTAAGATGTCAAATCACCTAACTATTAGCCATGGTATGGCACCTAAATCAGAACCTTTGGATTTGAAAAATAATTAAGGACCATATCAACCCTACTGTCACTCCTGGCCACATATGCCACTAAGGACGCAATGGGTTGCAGTCAGTCGCTATCGTGTCATGTAATTTCGTCTTAAAAAAGCATACTTATTCCACATGGTGGCCTCTTTGTTAAATGCCCAAGCTTGCCTAAAAACAATAAATATAACACACTCTATAGGCCGACAGAGTATATTTAGAGCGAATAATTAAGTTGAGTTTATCAAATTTATTTTTTTAAATGTATTTAAAAAATTATTTAAATTTAAGTTTAAATTGAGCTCAAAACAAGTCAAACTCAAATAGTTCAATTATTTTATATATAAGCGAACTAAAATTTTTAAACTTATTTTTTAAATGAGTTTAAAAAATTGTTTGAATTCGGCTCGTTTTAAATCGAATCTTATATGGGTTGAATTCAAACTAAGTTTGAATAACATGACTGATATGATTATATTTTCTTATTAGTTTCACAAAAATATTTCACTAGGCTTCATTAATGGCCCGTATTAGAACTTTGTGCGGAACTAGAAAGGAAATTTAAGGTTTCTAATTTTTACCGAATCTAGTACACGATTGGATGCTAACATAATAAGAACTTTCAAATAATAAAATGATTAATAACTTTCTCAATGGCAATGTGAATTAGTTAAAAACTTTAGTCGCTCCTAGGCGAAGATCTCCTTCATTCTAGGAAAATTCTTCTATTGTATATTTTGACGCAATAAACTTGTTGATTGATATTGTATGAATTATCGATGATATGAATGAAGTTGATTTTTAATAAGAGACGATGATGTGAATGAAGTTGATTTTTAATAAGAGACGTGTGTGTGGTTGATTAAGGTTAAAAAAAAAAAAAAAAAAGATCACATTAGCATAGTTTTGGGTCTTGCACTATATTTTTTTTACCTTAACTTACATATTAAAAGCTCTATGGATTCAAATTCAATATGAAATGATACGACAAGATTAATACCCAAAAAAAAAAAAATAGGGGTTTATTGTATTTTTACAAAACTTATCTTAACAATCTACGAGTACAAAATTGTTAGTGTCATATTGAACTAATTAAGGAAATATAGCATTGGATTAGATCCTAATCTCGCCATCATAAACAAGATCTACTTTTATTTCAGAAGGGCATCCCCCATGCCCTTATTGGGGCTTTCCCAATCGGATTTAGGTAGGTAGGTAGGCATGGAAGGGTCCATAAGCAAATGTGCCTATTTTTAGTACAAAGTGAATCTAAAACGGTACGTATATAAAAATGACATAATTTTTTAATATGAATAAAAAATATCAAACACTAACAATTTGACCATAATGGAAAAATACGTTTAATTCATATGATGTAAATAAAATGTCTGATATTTTTGTGTTTATTTATTAGTTTCTTCTATCTAGTGTCTTAGAAATAAAGAGTTTTTGGTTTAGTTTTAGTGCGAATGGAGTAGATTTTAGATTAATGGGAACCCATATATATATGTTATGATTTAAATGATAGAAAATTATTTCTAATTCTAACTTTCGGCTCTATAAATTGCTTACTTTAATTCAAAGAGCAATGCTATACTCACCAAGATTTGCATTACAAATCGGTACAAGTAGTTGGATTAGTGGAATTCATTAACTTAACTAAATATTGAAGGGTTAATTGTAAGTTGCACTCTGAAAAATAGTTCGAATATCAATTTAGACTTTCAAAGTCAAAAGTTTCAATTTGCACCCTCAAAAATATAAATTTTTTATCAATGTGCACTCCCAAAGATCAAAAATCTCAATTTGCACCTTCAAAGATAGAAATTTGTATCAATGTGCACCTAAAATTAAATTGATAAATTATACCTACATCCTCTCATGTTTTTCACATAATCTTTTGGACCCCTTCACTTTATAAGTGTTTTCACCATTATTGTGATAATTATTTTTATCACTTATTTTTTGGGACCATCATAATAGTTCAAACATCCATAATAATAATAAAAATACTTACAAAAATAATAAAAATCGATACTATTATTAAATTGTTTTTGAGTACCATGGACAACTCCAATACAATACTAACATGACACAGATCTAAAATGAAATGGCATTAATATGATACGAATTGAAAAATAATTACTCTGAATATTTTTTAGACACCACTCAATGGGTTACACCTACAATCTCAGCAGATCTTGTGACACGTGGGGAAAGAGACACCCAGCAGGACAGGAAAACATAGTTTTATGAATATGATCACCAGATAATCAGAGCCTGCGGCTAAACCTATCCAAACATGTGTACTTAGCCCACGCGTGGTCTGGTCTGGTCTGGTCGTCGTGTGGCTCGGTCGCATTTCGGTTCACTTACTCCCTTCTTCAATTCAGAGTTTCAGACACACATTATTCATGAATTATTGACGTCGACACATATCTATATAGGTTTGACTATGAAAAAAATGGATATTGCATCATTTATCGTTTCTTTAGGTATTTATATCATTTTTTAGATAAATATTTTTAATTTTTAAAATGCATTTTTTTTGGGATCAGATACCATTTTTTAGACAGAGTTTATCATTTTTTGAGTAAAATTTATTATTTTTTTGAATGTTTTTTATTTTAATACTAAAATTTTATTTTTTGATTATATACTAAACTTTTTTCTTTTCCGTACCATAATGTTTTCTCGATACCAAACAAAGGATAAAACAAAAATTTCCAAACGACATAGACATAAATGAAATTACGGGTTACTCCCGGGTGCTATGCCTATAAAATCGTTCTCTACAAGGGAATTTTCTTCATTCGAAGACGCCCAGAAACAAAACCATCCCAAAGTCCCAAAGCAGAAGAAAATTATTTATACAGACTCAGTAGCTCTCTGTATGCCTATCCGTATTTACAATACTCTACTTCTATTTTTCTATGCGGATTTCCTTCCTTCTTTTTCCTTCAATATCTTTTGCTATCCCAATTTCCCTGGAAAATTTTTGGTCTATGATCTTCCATTTTCTTCAAACACCCTTTGTTTCCATTCTTAGAATCCCTCCGTCTTTTGAAAAACCTACACACCTCCACTATAAGAAACCCTCTTAAATCTTCTCTTCCACGGCGGTTTTTGTATTGATCTCTGTTTTTCTACGTTTTCTTGTCGATTGAATTCATAACCGTCTTGGGATTGGTTTGAAAATGAGTTCTATAGACGTCGATTACGTGAAAATTGAGAAAGCAAAAGCAATTGCGAGGTATCGTCGGTTTCGAAAGATTGCGAAATTGTTCCAAATGCTTGAGATCATCGTGGCTCTAAGTTTGCTCTCATGGTCGACGACTCGGCTTCCGGCGGTTATGAAAATCTCTGGTGAGTATGTCATGAGGGTCTCCGTCTACTTACTCAGCCCTCACGCCATATTTTTGATCGGAAACGCAATTATCATTGCGCTTGTTGTTCTTTCCCGCCAAAACTATGCTGGTTACAACACCGGCAACGCCGATATGTATGACGATTATGTCCGTCATAGTGAGATTCAGCAAAGGGTCGCCGATCCTCCCGACGGTGAAATCCTCCCATCATCGCTGGCGCCGGAGACGGAGAGGAAGACCGATGACGACTACAACAACTGTAAGCAGATCGTGTGCTTGGAAAATGCTGTTTCGCAACCGCAATGTGACGCTGTTACGGATGCCATAGAGGAAGCGACGAAGCAGATACGTAGGTTCCAGAGAACCCAATCGGAGAAGTTGAAACGGGAAATAGCCGTGAAGCCCCGGCGAGAGCTCCGTCGATCGGAGACAGAGACTCGTGATATAGTCGTCATCTCCGGCGAAAGGCGGACGATGATGGCTTCTCTTGACAACGTGGACAGTCTTAGTAACGAGGAGTTTCGTCTCACCATTGATGCCTACATTGAAAAGCACCAGAGGTTTTTCAAAGCCCAGACATTAGAAGAACAAAAGCAGTAAAAATAAACAGTACTAAGAGTTACAGAGGCAGAGAGAGAGAGAGAGAAGAAATCTTCTATGGATTTCTATTTTATTTTTTCCTTTTCGTTATCTTATTCAGATTCTCTTGTAGTACCACGCACTGCAATGTACATGGTTGTTTTCCCTAGTTCTTATTTTCTCTGGAATTAGGAAGGAAGAAGGAGTTTGAATTTTTTCTATATTAATGATTTTTGTTTTACATTTTGCTCTAAAATTGAGATACTGATTCAGGAATTTCTGGGCATGGTTGCTGTATTTTTTTTTAGTCATGTACTATCATTAGGCCAACCGATAACCTTTTCAATTTTGTTTTTGAACTTCCGTTTACTTAATTTTCTTTTTCTTGTGAGGGAAAAGGAATTGAAGTGATACGAGACAAGGAATTTATTCTAGCTTTGGAGAAAGAATTTTCTGTTGCTTTGTTAGAATTTTTATATGGCTTTGCTATTGAGTTTATATTTTCTTCTTTTCAGTAGGGATTCATGCCTTTTCCTCCACCTCTTTGTTGTGGATTTGTGTTTTGAGAACTAGTGTTTACAAAATGAGGATAAAATTGTTTATTATTTATCTCTCGGATAATAATTTTGTCGACTATAAATTGTTTTGAAAACCACAACTCTGTTTCCAATCTGGTTGCTAGTTAGGTCATAGGAACAAGGGATGTTGATTATCCCAAAAGGACTGATTGCCTTGATGAGCTTAAGGTATTATAAAGTGATTCACTATGAATCTGCTCGCTCTTCCGGGGCAGATACATATGTATTTGTCTATATGATCAGGAGTATTTCAGTCAATTTATGCGCACCTCAAATAATTTTCTCTCCGATCATATTAAAGGCCGTATAGGCAAATACATATGGACTTTTGGGGTTTAAAATGTGCAACTATTTCCACTTAAACACTTTTTCAGTCTCTGCTTTGCGTATCAAAGTATATGAGACCAATGTCTATAACAAAGTCTAGAAGATAAAAGTGAAAAATATTTTACGTCTATTTCAAAGATAGTATGATTTCGATAGATAACTACTTGCAATCAGAACAAATCCGACCCTAGTCTTTAGATGAAAAGTCATGTCCCATGGCATGATTAACCACTTTCTCTTCATTTGTGAATGCCAAATTATTGCTAGCCCATACATAAGCCGAAATCAGTGGCTTTTACAAGTGCATAGTTGCATTATTCTCAAATGATGTAACAATAATCCCAGATTTGAAAAAGCTTCTACTCCTTCCATTCCATGGATAAAGTCACTTTTCCCCACTTTATCCATATTAGACTACAATAAAAGTAATTAGTAGGTTTTTCCCCATTACAATTAGTTGGGTTCTCATCATTACTTGCCATCTGAAATAGGATAGTGGCCAATCTATGCAACATTCATCATTGGTTTAGCACTAACAAGGAATTTTTCCTCTCTATGTGTCTAAAAAAATATATTTTTTGTTCAACGATCAGGAATGTCTAAATTAATTTACACGCGCTTCGACTAATTTTTTTTTTAGTCCGGTCAAAAGTAAATCATCCACACCGGGATTAAGACATTCATAAGGGATAAATCTTCATAACCTGATCTCAAAAAATTATTAAAATTTGAACTTAAAACATTTGAATTTATAACTCATTTCTATCGCTTGAAGTACCCTTTAAATATATATACCACTGTCTCATGTCATACTTAAGTGCTTCCCACATTGATATTTTTCTCTATCCTGTCTTATTTTACATCCTGTGCTTCACACTGACACCATTTTAAACCAGAAACTCATATAAAAACTTAGGTTGTTTAATACAGAATAACTTAAATACTTAATATCTAAATACTCTAATAAAACCTACTTATAGCCCGAACCTGTTAAAACTAAATTCACGAGGAAATTCGGTCGATTTTTCATGCCGGAAGAATGGATCATTTTACAAATTGACAACCCTAATTCTAATAATGATGGACTTCTTTTTCAGTGTGTTTGGGCAACCATTAAAAAAGGCAAAAAAGAATTGGTTTAGTAGTAGATGCAACTGATAATTCCCTTTGGTGCATGTCTCGGTTGGGGGTTGTGGGGAATTCATTTTGAATTGTGGGGGGTGGGGGGCTATTGGAACAATCTAGCGGCTTGCTGTTATCCACTTGCATGGAAATTTCGTAGCAAAACAAACAAAGAAGCCTCTTGTTTATTGGCACCAACAGCTCCCTTTACATTTTCTGTATTTTTTTGTCACACTGGCATCCTACCATCTATTGTTTATTGTTTATCATAAAATACAACCCAATCATTTTGTTTAGGGAGGCCCTTTTCACCGTACAGTGGTTCAAAAGTTGGGTCAAGCACAGAGACAAAACTCAGGCATTCAAACTGATTATAGTTTAATCATGGGCCATCCAAGTTGTTGACTTGATTATCCTGTACTTTTTGTTATGAATTTTTGTATTTACAAAGTTTTTTATTTTTTTAAGGGAGGGAGAGAAACTTAAACCATTGATTTTAAGAAGTCAAAATCTTTACAAAATAAGGAGTACGATTGGACCAAAGTCCCTTTGATTATGTACAAAGCGAAACTATTATTTCTAGAGGACAAAATAGATTTGTATATTTTATTGCTTCTTTTGTATAGATTTGTTTTTTTTTTTTTTTTTTGATGTAGTAAATGGATATGGATATAGGTTACTTTATATATTCCTTAGGAAGTATTGTCTTTTAGAACTATAAAGCTAACTGCAAAAGACCCCACTGCATGTACGTTGGGACCGAAACTAAGGTCTCACTATGTGGTCTGATCGTTGAAGAGTATGTTTAGTTCCACCGAACTATCGTACTATGGAGACTCAAACTTAAATATTAAACGAAAAAATTTTAGTTCTTAGCTACTAGACCAACCGCTCAATAGTTATAGATTGACTTTGGGTGCAGTGCAAAATCTTTTTTGGAATCTATTTGTAAAGGGAGAGTACACTAAGAAGAAGGTGGTGATAATTTCACACCTAACATGAACTTACTCGATTTGAATCGAGAATAATTGTGTTGATGTAATACAAATGCTGACACCACACACTTATTTATTGATTGTGTTGTATATTCAGGGTTCTTGAGTTAATATATTTGATCTTATATTTCATCCGTTTATCATACAAAAGCAGAAAAACTGTAAGTGACACAAATATGACCAACACATTGATATGACTCAAAGAAACTTACAAGTCATTTCGCATCATTTTTTAATAGATACGTTTCGTGTTATATCTAGATATGATTAATTAGTTATATCATATCCGAGATTATCTCATTGATATAATTTTTTGGCGGGATTACCCCGTTGATTGAATATGTATTTTTTGACATGATTAGAAATCACCCTTTTTTTTAATTTTTTATTATCAGGATTGGAACTCACTCAATAAGTCAAGACGGCCGTCCCTAATGCTTAGATGGTCTCCAAAGGCAACAATTGATTACACTTCGCATGCTTCCTTAAATTACATGTACTGTCTACATAGTGAAGACGACCCATGTCCTTCTAACAGAGACTCTAACAATTTCATAGCAACTTGACAACATAACTGGATAGGTTTTGTCCAAGGAAATTTGTAAATAATTAAAGAAAATTGGAAAGAGAAACAAAAGCAATGATATATGTACTTGACTCGTCTCTATTGCTGATTTTTTTGTTTCAATCTCTGTCTCTATTGGTGATCAAAGTATAAGATCTTTGTCTCCTCGGGTTGTCATTTTATTTTTGTCTATTGTTCACCGTCAAACGTCTGTGTACAATGACCCATACTCTAACAAACCATAGACTTGGTTAATAAATCCTTTAAGTCTCGACCTAGGATCTCCATCGGCAGCGGTCGAAAATAATTTGAAGTGTCAGTAGTGGCAAGTGCAACTCTAAAGCGTCATGTCCAACATCACACTAAGTTTGTAGCAATTAAATTAAAGACTTATTTTATAATGTAAGACATTTGATAGGCTAAATTAACATCTTAATAACCAAATAAAATATAACCATAATGAGAAAAAAAAATTAATACATGTTTAAGCTTGAATTGAAATCAATTTTAATCAAAAGTAATTGATGTCCCTGCATTTGTTTCTTTAAACGCCAACTGCCAAGTCTTTGCACTTTTTAAGCATTCGTAACACATAAAAATATGCACATAAAATATCTGTGTGGTAGATAACTGGTTTTTTAATGGTAAACAATGATCATAAAATTTCTATACACTACGGATAAAATAAATAAAAATTACAATCAATCTTCACATGATTGTCCAATGATAGAACACTCAAAGAGAGAAAATCGATAATCCGTAGGGAAAAAATCTAAGGAACGGTAAAAATTAAAGAAAATCTCGCCTTTTATGAGACTTGACCTCGGAATCTTCAATTTTTTTCATTTAAAAAAAAAAACGAAAGGCACCAACAAGAACAATGAAAAGGTTTAATCCCAAAAAAAAATGATCACTTTAAGAGCAATCTAAAGCATGGTTACTGCAACTAATATTTGGTGCTGCACTCCCTCATTCCGGAAGGAAAGAAAGAAAAGGTGATCCCCACCATCAATGGTGGTCCCCACCATCAATGGTGGTCCATTGGACCTCCCTGTATTACTAGCTAGCATGGGGTCTATTCTAATTGAATCATAGTTGTGGATACATACATATATGTGTGTGTGTATGTGTGTGTATGTGTGTGTTATGCCACGAGTAATGTTTTTTTTCTATTTCTTCTTGCCTGTGGCATATTTAGTCTACATCTCAACTCCAAAGAATGAATGTACAGCTCAAAATTTGTTTCTTATTTCTTTCAAAGGAGTTAAGTTTTAATGCATGCTCAATTGAGAACGAAAACCGCACATCCGATGGACTTGGAGCGAAAGATGCAGCCACACAGTATGAGGATACTACATTTGCATGAGAGGAGGCATTCCACAAAAGAGAGCGAAGTTACTAATCAAACAATAGCCCGGGGACTGGGGCGGGCATGGCTCCAGACCACAACTATGCTTAACCCTTGATTGTGGCTAGTTTGTTCTTTGATTCTTTAAGGATTTAAGATGAAATCAACAACAGTCACAATATTCGTTTGCTGAGAGAGAGAGAGCTTGTTAAGTCACCATACCATTTAAAGTAATGCTACATGGACTTAAAAATAGACTGGATAATCTCAA